GTCCCCTGTTATGGGTCTCAAAGGCTAAGTTCATGCATGGAAAAGTAGGAAAACAATTATGACTGTAGGCTAGCTAAGGCCGTGGGAAGGTGACACACGTCTCTATGCAAAACTTGTCTTTTGATGATGGGACCGGCTAGGCGGCCACTTTAGTAGTTTGCTTTGTCAGTTCTCGTTTACACTCAATCCTCATATTGAGATCAGCGCTCAGGTTTGAATGTAGATCGATAAAGCATTGGTAGTATGGCTTATTGGCTGTTCCTTTTCACCATTTCGGCCCATTTAGAGGGAGACCTAATTTATGTTGAGGTTGATGCTATTCCAAACTTAGTGGATCGACCCAACACGTATAGTTAATTTTTATTTATAACAACACTTATTCTTTTTAAGTTAAGGGGGATGCAATTGAGATTTGAAAGACATTTCAAGACTTTTGGAGATTTTCAAATTTAAGAAGTATCGTGTAAAATCTTCAAGGTTAGGGGTGGGATTTGGAATAAGATTTCATATATGTTTTTTTTTTTTTGTTTGAAATCACAACAAATTTTAAAAAGCCTTAGCAAATCCTACACTCAAATAAATATCTCAGTATTTTGTACAATTTTTTAAAATATCAAATGAATACTTCAAAACTTTTGAAAGCTAACAATTTTAATACACGAGGATGATTTCTGAAGATTTAAAAAGTTTTAAGAAATCTTAAACGAATATACTCCTCTATGTATCGCTAATAATATTTTTGATAATTTCTTATTTTTATCGTTACTTATTTATGAATCGAAATAATATATTGTAATAATAAATGAGTAAACGAACATAAAGAAATTAGTTATCAATTATGTTCATGTTCTTAATTCTAAAAACGATCTCTAAAATGTCATGGGTTTTCAAATAAATATATAAATCATACATTATAAACACTTATATACAAAATAAATTAAAAAAATTAATATTAATTTTGTACTAATTAATAATTATTATTTTTTTAATTTAGACGATAGTTTAAAACCCTGCCGCAATCATAATTATCTTGTAAATTAATCCGATTGCTCCTTAACTAGTACGTACCTCGTGCTATGCACGAAACAGAGATATTAAATGAATTATTTCAACAGGCTTTGTCCATTTAAGTCTAAAAAACAATAGGCTTAATCAGCTTGTGTTTTTTGCCAGAATATTAAATATGAGCATGTTATAAACTTTGTTGTCATACAATGTCATTATTATTTATAAAATTTATAGACATTGTACGTCTTCTTTTTCTTCTTATTTTATATAATGAAAAATATTTAATGCACGTTAGCATTATTTATTTATGTAATTAATTTAAAATATGTAAATAAATTTAAAATTAAATAGTGTATAAATTTTACAAAATATACACACAAGTTTTTCTTAGAATTTAATTGTGTATACTAATTAAACAACTTTGATTTAGCAAATGTCAAAAACTAAATCCCTTCTATAATCAAGATTTTTTATTTAACTATTATAAAATTATTTAATAAAATATGAAGTTATATTCTCCACAATATTCAATTCAATAATAATATGACATTTATTTATTTACTTTTATTGTTAATTTCTATATATATATATATTCCTTAGTTGCAATAAACTAACTTATTATGATTCTTCAACAGATTCCTTAGTGAATTTTATGTTCGATTTATAAGGTTTTACGAATCGTCAACAAAATACTTCGATTTGGAGTTTTTTGAGTTTAGGATCTTCGTTTTGATTCGAAGGTTTTTTTTTTTTCAAAAGACCATTGTACGATTGGAAATGAGATTTTCATTCTCAATTCTCCAGTTTTAATTAATTGTTTTGAGAATTTTTTTAAAAATTGTATGCACATTCGATTTTAGGATTTTATGTTCAATTTAGAATGTAATTATATATTTTAGTTTCTTTAAGGTTTTTTGGAATTGTAAAAAAAATAGTCCATTAATGCTAACAGATATGTAGGATCTTGTGTTCATTAGCTTTTTTCAATTATTGCATGATTCTTCATATGCAGATTTCAATTATAAAAAAATAATTTTGACCAGATATCTTGTTAACAAAATTTGTAAATTTCCAACCAATTTACACAGTTGACCGAATTTGAACAAATCTACATTATTTATTTTGAGATTGAATCAAACACACATTCAATCAAATAAGGAAATTAATTTCCAGATTTTTTGGAAGTTCAAATCAATTGGATTCTTGAAACTAACATTCAAATTGCATGGGCGGGACATGTTAATTATATTCAAAAGAAAAATTATGAAATACGTAAGCGGGAAAATGACTTGTGAAGCGGGAAAATGAATTAGTTTTTTTGGAATTGTTTGAATAGTTTATTATATATTATATAGTAATAGATAAAACTAAAAAGAAAGAAAATATGTATTTTTTTCTTTTCATTATCATATGGCTTATTAACCACTATTTTTGAGTCGGTGTGCTCTACTTTTCTTGATTTATGATATGATATGATATGATGAGCATCACTGCCATCCTCGTCGGGGTAATTTTCCTTCCTCTCCGTACAGTTCTCTGCGATCACTAATCGCCTGCAAAAACCCTCTCCGAAAACCCTAGAAAATCACGATCTTGATATATGCTTCAGATAAGCACAAAGAGTCGTACTCTCTATTCAAATTTCATTCCTTTCTTATTCTGTCAGTTATACGCTGTCTTTTTCCCTCTTATCTGATTGTTCACCTGGCTTCTCTCACATCCGACTTGAACCTTCTCTTTGTATTATTTTTTTATTGATTCGTGCATCCCGACCTTGAATCGGTCGATACGATAGTTGACTGCTGACAGCTGCTTACTGAATCGGGTAATGATCGCATTTGGTTGATTTTGAGAGATGAAGTTGAAGCGGAGAAGGGCACTTGAAGTGGTCAGTGGATTTTTCTGCATCGATCATTATTGAATTGTGTTTGAATTTTATCTTAACGGGACTTCTTTGGCTAATTAACTCTGTCCTTTCTTTTTGGGGCGTTTTGGTATTGCATCCCATTTTATTTTATTGTATTTTATTGTAATGTTTGAGTGAGCAGGGGATTGTGTCTACTGATTTGAAAACAACTTGGATTCGTAGAGTTTCAATAGTTAAGTGAGTTTGTGTGTTAACACACGCACTTTCAATTTGTTTTATCCAAAATGATGTGTTTTTACCTTAAACCTTGGCCATCACTAATTCTAGTTAAGTTTTATAGTGAAAGTTTCTTTCTTGTATTTGACTAATTGATATTGCAATCTACTTTCCTATAAAGTGCCAGTGAGCATGCTGTTATGTTTGTTGATTTGGAAATGTTTTGGATTACAGAGCTCAATAGATTATTAGGTAATATTATAGTTTTTTACCCATCACTTAACCGTCATTGGTTCTAATCAGATTGTACTGTAGGATTTTCTTGTGATTTGGTTAAGTGATTTTGTATAGAAGTTGATTTTTTGTTACATAATTATATTCTATGTTCAGATTATTTAGCTTTGCGCTCATGTATTACGTATCTAGTTAAGAAGCTTGATTTACTGTTTGGTTGGGTTGTTACCAGTTGATTTTGCTTTCATATTTTAACATTTGTTACTGGTAGGGCCATAGTTGTTAGAAGCAGTAGACAAAGGTAAAGTCATTGTGTGGACTACTTGTCGTGTATTGGTGAAACAGTTAATTATTACATTAAAGCTTGTATATACTACTTATTTTTTATTGTTATTGCTATGGGAATCTGAGCCTTGGAGCCAGTTTTGTTTGTAATATTCCGTAGACTCTATTTAAGGAATGGAACACTTGCTTGATCTGATTTTAGCTTGAGTTAATTTGCTAGCTTTTCTATTCCTTACCTGTTCATACACTCTATTTTCTATTGCTCTCACAGTAAATTGTCCATAATTCCTACCATGCGTTTGTTTTACTCCTTCCTGCTCATCATTTTTTGAATAGTCATTTTTCAAAAAGTTGTGGCAAATATCGAAAATTATGATATTTGAAATAATGGACTTTCGTTTCTTTTCTGTAGCCTTCGAAGATCAAATCCTTCATCAACCATGTTACTTCTACACCACTAGAGAATATTGAAGAGCCACTAAAAAAATTTTCTTGGCAGTTTGATAAGGTAAATGCTCGTTCTGTTAGAATTGTCAGATCAATTTATTTCATATCGTTTAGTGATGCTGATTATGCCAATGCAGGGAGATTTCCATCATTGGGTTGACTTGTTTAATCATTTCGACACCTTTTTTGAGAAATACATCAAACCAAGGAAGGATTTGCAGCTTGAGGACAACTTTTTGGAATCTGATCCACCCTTCCCGAGGGATGCTGTTTTGCAGGTTCTCCGTGTCATTCGAATAATATTGGAGAATTGCACAAATAAGCATTTCTACGGCTCGTATGAGGTACATCTTTATCTTGGTTGCGTGAAACATAGTTGGCGTATCTTGTTGAGCTTGAACGTGTTTGACATTTGATTCAATTAGGCAGAAGACATTTCTCCTTGTCCAAGTTACGTAACGTAATTTCTGTGGATATTTCTTTTCTTGAGTTGCTGATTTATTTTCATTAACCTAAAAATGTTTACACATTGTTGTATTGCATGCTGCTTATATGAATGAGAGGCCAAAACCTCAAAATTTTCTGCTATTTTCATAGCACATGGTACATGCTGCTATTATCATGTGATGATTTTTCCCCTCAATGTTATATTGCTACATAATTTTGAATCAAGTCTAAAAGTGGATACCTCTGATGAGTTAATAGATTCCCGAGATCTCGTGTTATGTGAGTAGTGGATGGCTCAACAAACTCAACGACAATCACAATCTAATTACTGTGGTGTATTCCTTCTGTCTCTTACGTTGCATTATGCACAAATAAGGAACATATAGTTGACATATATCCTTGTAAAGTAAATAACTGCTGTTTGGTAGCTTGTTTTTGGTAATTTTGTAGTATTGATGGTTGGAAGGCAGTGCATGAGAAGGGATAAGGTGGTGGTGTGGATGGGGTCAGGGTGATGGCAAAACAAGGCTGTGTTTTAATGTTAATTGACAATTAAGGAATTAGAATGAGGATGTAGGAGTATCATATACTAATATGCTAAAATGTACTTTTATGTCCACCAGAAGAGAAAAGAAATAAAAAAGTCTACCTTCTCTTTACACTTGGATAAGTAATGAGACTAACTTCTTTGTGCCTCAAACAAAAGCTTTGTTGTACAATCATACTCTTCACATTTATTGCCAGCGAAGAAGTAAATGTAATTCTCTGCCAATGAATCAGTGAATGTGTGTGTCCATTGAGATTTGGGTTTAAACATTGAAGGTTGGTTTAACAGTTTAGATTAATTCTTTAGATTAATTCTGGAGGTGATTGGTTTGCACTAAAGACTACAAAATTTGCACCTAAACAATTGAAAAAGAACTCTTCCATAATTTCTGAACTTTGGTCTATCTATATACAATACTTTCGTGTTTACTAGTACAGTACTGATGCACGGGAGCATTTATATCCTACTTGCATTTTTAAAAAGTATTTTTTTATTTACATTGTCTCATGGCATTAAAAATATTTTCAATTTATATGTTATTGAATACTTCCTTATATATAACATTCTTGGTTTGATTCTTTGGCACGTAAAGTACTACGTGGGTATTCGAATTTTATATAAAATTTAAAATTGCGTATTATTAGTTATTAACTAACAAATTACGTTTTTTTTTTCTTATTTATTAAACAAAATTCTAGTAGAAAAAAAGTAGAAATATTTAGGAATTTTCATGCCATTTTATTTTTTGTTTTAAATTTAATTGAAAATTTTGATTTAAAGATTGAAAAGAATCATTAGTTTTTCCTAAAAATAAAAATGATTTTCCTACCAATATACCAATGTTTTTTACCAAATAAATTGATGCGAATATTTAGTTAAAACAAAGTGAAAAGAATCATCAAATTTTCCTAAAAATGCAACCGAATTTTTTTAACATTGCAACGATTTTTTTACCAAACAAATTGAATTGAAATTAATTCTAATAAGAGAATAATTTGTTAAGATTTATGCAACTGTTTCTTTTCTAAAAATTTAGGAAAATTGATATGAGCTTACCAAAATCTCGATAACGCATGGTTAAGAAAAAAACATAAGAATCCAAAAAAAATCGGTGCATTCAAATTTTGAAAAGTTGCACACGATTTTGGAAATTGATTTGAATTTTTATTCCTAAGTAATTGGATAAGGTCTGACTTTAAATATCAAAGATGAACCGATTTTGTTACCAAAAAATGTGGATACGAGTTTGAATGTAAATCTCGTTCAATCTCAATTTTGTTTTAAAATAAAAATTGCACGCAGTTTTTGAAAGAAAAATTATTCGAAAAGATTGAAAGAATTTGCTAAAAATTATAAAACTATTTATTTCCTAAATTTGTATCCAATTTGCACGATTTTTAAATTAATTTATATTTGAAATTGTTTTCATAAATAATTGATACATTTTTTACATAAGAATCTCCAATTTTGTTATAAAAAAATAGGATTCAGAGTTTGGTAAAAAATAAAAAAATGACACGAAAAAAATGAGATTCAAATTTTGGCGGAAGAATCTCCAAATTTGTTACCAAAAATAGAATTCATATTTTGTTACTAAAGATTCACATGTGTTTTTTCGAAATTTCCACTAATAGTAAGTCAAAAAATATATTTTTTCAATCAAACTTTCTATTAATGTATTTTTCCAACAATCTCTTTAATATATAGATATAGATATAGATATAATATGCTATGTCACTGCTTCTTTGAGATCTAAGCAACATTTTCCTCACTAAGGTTTGGGACTAAAGTCTATGTTGTTGTTGTTGTTGTTGTATATAGAATGGCAATAAGAGAAAGTCCTTTTGCTAGTGTGTGAGAATGTGGTGTGTGAGAGAGTGACGGCCTAATACTTTGTTCAATGGTAGATGGTACAGATATCAATCGATTTCCTTGCTGCGTNTGTTGTTGTACCATTCCCAAATGAACAAGTGGCTATATTTAGACTGTCTATGTCATTGTTTGTTTCATGTGTTCCATGTTGTAGGCTGTCTTATTTTCCATTTTGCTTTGTTGTTGGTGCAGCATCACTTGTCATCTCTGCTTGCGTCCACTGATGCGGATGTTGTGGAGGCTTGCCTGCAGACTTTGGCAGCTTTTCTTAAAAAATCCATTGGAAAGTACGTTATTAGAGACGCTTCTCTGAATTCAAGATTATTTTCTTTTGCCCAAGGTTGGGGAGGTAAAGAAGAAGGTCTTGGATTGGTTTCCTGCGCCGTACAGAATGGATCTCATTTGATTCCTTTTGAGTTGGGTAGCACTCTGCATTTTGAATTTTATACTGTGAACGGATCTTTGAATGAGCCCACAGCTGCAGAACAGCCAACTCAGGGTTTACAAACAATACAAATGACTGACGTGAATGCAAGAAAAGAGTCTGACCTTGAACTTCTGAATGAGTTGGTCACCAAATATAAAGTTCCCCATAATTTGAGATTTTCTCTTTTGACAAGATTGCGATTTGCTAGGGCGTTTGGATCCCTAGAGACAAGGCAGCAGTATACTTGTATACGGTTGTATGCTTTTGTAGTTCTTGTTCAAGCATGTAGTGAAACTGAGGACCTGGTTTCCTTCTTCAATGCTGAGCCGGAGTTCATTAATGAGTTGGTTACTATGCTAAGCATTGAAGATGCAGTTCCTGAAAAAATTCGAATTCTATGTCTTCTTTCTTTGGTCGCTCTTTGTCAAGATAGGTCTCGTCAGCCTACTGTATTGACTGCTGTGACATCTGGGGGGCACCGTGGCATTCTATCTAGCCTTATGCAGAAAGCAATCGGCTCGGTTGTTAATAATTCATCGAAGTGGTCTGTTGTTTTCGCGGAGGCTCTGTTATCTCTCATTACTGTCTTGGTGTCTTCATCATCAGGATGCTCAGCCATGCGTGAAGCGGGATTTATCCCCACTCTTCTACCTCTATTGAAAGATACTGATTCTCAGCACTTGCATTTGGTTAGTACTGCTGTACATGTTCTGGAAGCTTTTATGGATTACAGCAATCCCGCTGCTGCTCTTTTTCGTGATTTGGGTGGTTTGGATGATACGATATCACGTTTAATGGTAGAAGTATCTCATGTTGAAAATGGTTCCAAAAAGCAAGTCGCATCTGGTGAAAGTTCGGAGTGTGGTGGTTCTCAAGTAGTTTCAGATAGTTCTTCTACAGGGCTCGATAGTCTGCAGCCACTGTATTCGGAAGCTTTGGTTTCATATCATCGTCGATTATTGATGAAAGCCCTGCTACGTGCTATATCATTAGGAACTTATGCACCTGGGACGACTCGTATGTATGGTACAGAAGAAAACTTGTTGCCACAATGCTTGTGTATAATATTCAAAAGAGCAAAAGATTTTGGTGGGGGAGTATTTTCACTTGCAGCTACTGTCATGAGTGATTTAATCCACAAAGATCCTACCTGCTTCTCTGTCCTGGAATCAGCAGGTCTTCCTTCTGCCTTCATGGACGCTATCATGGATGGTGTTCTTTGCTCCGCGGAGGCTATTACTTGCATACCTCAGTGTCTTGATGCCTTGTGTTTGAACAACAGTGGTCTTCAGGCTGTGAAAGAGCGCAATGCGTTGAGGTGCTTCGTAAAAGTTTTTACGTCTAAAACATACCTGCGAGTCCTTTCTGCTGATACATCAGGTTCCCTGTCAAGCGCTCTGGATGAACTAATGCGCCATGCTGCATCGTTGCGTGGGCCTGGAGTTGATATGCTGATTGAGATACTTACCGATATTGGAAAAATTGGATCTGGGCTTGAATTGGCTTCTTCTCCATCCTCAGATCCTCCAAGCTCCTCTCAGCCAGCTCCTATGGAAACTGAATCTGAGAATAGTCACACCTCGATGGATGATACAGAATCATCAAGGCATGGAACTAATGAACAATCGACGGACGTAGTCCCCGATGCGTCATCATCGAATGTCGAATCCTTTTTGCCTGACTATATAAGCAATGTTGCTCGTCTTCTTGAATCGGTTCTTCAAAATTCTGATACTTGCCGGATTTTTGTTGAGAAAAAAGGGATCGAATGTGTTCTGCAGTTATTCTTGTTGCCATCTCTTCCCCTCTCTGTTTCTCTTGGTCAAAGTATAGCTGTTGCATTCAAAAATTTCTCGCCTCAGCATTCCGCTTCTCTTGCTCGTGCTGTATGTTCATTTCTGAGAGAACATTTAAAGTCGGCGGAGGAACTTCTGACTTCAATTAATGGATGCCAGCTTGCTGAGGTGGATTTCTCGAAGAGAGTAAAGATCTTGAGGTGCCTCTCCACGTTGGAAGGGATTCTGTCTCTTTCAATTTCCTTACTGAAAGGGACCACTACATTGGTCTCTGAACTGGGGTCTGCTGATGCAGATGTCTTAAAGGATATTGGGAAGACTTACAGAGAAATTCAGTGGCAAGTATCTTTGGGTTGTGAGTTGAAGGTTGAGGAGAAGCGGACTGCTGAAGTGGAGCCTGAAAATGCTGATGCAGGTCTATCTAATGTGGCCGGAAGGGAGAGTGATGATGACTCTAATAATATTCCATCCATTAGATATATGAATCCTCTCTCAATACGAAATAGTTCCCACTCTCAGTGGGGAGTTGAGCGTGACTTCATATCTGTTGTTCGTGCAAGTGAAGGTTTCAGTCGCCGCAGCCGGCATAGCTTGGCTCGTCTTCATGGTAGCAGGTCAGCAGGAAGGCACTTGGAAGCTTTACAAATTGATACTGAAGCTGGAACAACTAGTGCAGAGGCTCCTTTTCATGGAATGAAGAAGAAGAGTCCGGAAATGGTGGCTGTAGATATTCTGAATAAGCTTGCTTCAACCATGCGCTCTTTCTTCACAGCACTGGTGAAAGGTTTTACATCGCCAACTCGTCGAAGAACTGAAACTGGGCCTTTGAGTTCTGCTTCGAAGACCATTGGGGCCGCCCTTGCAAAAGTTTTTTCGGAGTCTCTGGGTTTCTCTGGGTACACGAGTTCCGCTGGAGTCGATGTCTCGTTGGCAGTCAAGTGTCGCTATCTTGGGAAGGTCGTGGACGACATGGCTGCCCTTACGTTTGATAGCAGAAAGCGCACTTGTTACGCTTCTATGATCAATAAATTTTATGTGCACGGGACCTTCAAGGAGCTTCTTACGACGTTTGAGGCCACAAGTCAGTTGTTGTGGACTGTTCCCTGTGCTATTTCTGCACCAGGTTCTGATCTTGAAAAAAGTGGTGAAGGGAGCAAGATGCCTCACAGTTCCTGTCTGCTCGATACATTACAAAGTCATTGTCGTGAGCTCGAGTACTTTGTGAATTCTGGAATATTATTGTCTTCGCCCTCAGCATCCCAGGCGCAGGTACTTGTTCAGCCTGTTGAAATGGGTTTGTCCATCGGGCTGTTTCCCATTCCCAGGGACCCTGAAGCATTTGTTTGCATGCTGCAGTCTCAAGTCCTAGATGTGATACTTCCTGTCTGGAACCATCCAATGTTCCCAAACTGTAGCCCTGGATTTATAACTAACATTATTTCACTAATGACCCATGTGTACAATGGTGTTAGCGATTTAAAGCAAAGTCGCAGTGGATCATCTGGAGTAGCAAACCAACGCTTCATGCCGCCGCCTCCTGATGAAGCAACTATTGCTACCATTGTTGAGATGGGCTTTTCAAGAGCAAGAGCTGAGGAGGCGCTGAGGCGAGTCGAAGCAAACAGTGTTGAGATGGCAATGGAGTGGTTGTTCAGTCATGCTGAAGATCCTGTCCAAGAGGATGATGAGCTCGCTCGTGCACTGGCTTTATCTCTGGGGAGTTCAACAGAAGCACCTAAAGTCGATGATGTTGACAAGTCTGCCGATGCCTTGAATGGAGAGAGAAACTCGAAGCCACCTCCAGCTGCTAATGTTCTTGCTGTTGCGATGAAATTATTTGAGGGTAGTGATGCCATGGCGTACTCGCTTACAGATCTGCTTGGGACTCTGTGCAGCACGAACAAAGGGGAGGAACGCTCCAAAGTGATTTCGTATATCGTTCAGCAGCTAAAACTTTGTCCACTCGACTTTTCCAACGACAGCTGTGCATTGGGTAGGATCTCGCATACTCTAGCGCTGCTTCTTGCAGAAGATGGAATCGCTCGTGAAATTGCTGCGCAAAGTGGAGTTGCTGTGGTGGTCATCGATATCTTGATGAATTTTATGTCGAGGACCGAGGCTTCTGCAGAGATTCTTGTGCCTAAATGCATCAGTGCATTACTTCTTATCTTGGATGATTTGGTGCAGTCTAGGCCCCGGATAACTGGTGGTAATGGTGAAGGGGTCGTACCTGGATCGTTGTCTGGTTCGTTGAGAAATCAAGCATCACCTGAAGCAATCAAGGACAAATCAATTCCATCTGATTTGGACAAGGATAATGGCTCTACCAAGGATGGGTCTGCCTTTGAAAAAGTTTTTGGCAAACCGACGGGCTATTTGGCAATGGAGGAGAGCCAGAAGGTACTTGCAATTGCTTGCGATTTGATAAAAAGACATGTACCTTCAATCGTTATGCAGGCTGTTCTTCAGTTATGTGCTCGCTTGACAAAAGCACATTGTCTGGCTTTGCAATTCCTTGAAAGTGGAGGCTTGGTTACTCTGTTTGGCCTTCCAAGGAGTTGCTTCTTTCCTGGGTATGACACTTTAGCATCTGCTATTGTTCGGCATCTTCTTGAAGATCCTCAGACGTTGCAAACAGCTATGGAAGTTGAGATACGGCAAACACTGAGCGGAAGCAGGCACGCTGGGCGTGTATTGGCGAGAACATTTTTGACATCAATGGCACCTGTTATATCCAGAGATCCAGAGGTCTTCATGAAAGCTGTAGCTGCTGTGTGTCAGGTGGAGTCCTCAGGAGGGAGGACCATTGTGCTGCTATCTAAAGATAAAGACAAAGAAAAATTAAAAGGTGCTGAGGCAGGAGTATCCACTAACGAATGTGTACGAATAACTGAACAGAAGGCTCATGACGGTTCGAATAAGTACGCCAAGGGTCACAAAAAGGTTTCAGCAAATCTCACCCAAGTGATTGATTATCTTCTTGAAATCGTATCAACCTTCCCTTCTTACAATGGGGATGATGATTGTGGAGGCCATTCAAGTGCAATGGAGGTAGATGAACCAACTATCAACATGAAGGGTAAATCGAAGGTTGATGAAACTGTGAAAACTGGATCTGACAGTCTATCTGAGAAATCTGAAGCTCTAGCTAAGGTGACATTTGTTCTCAAGTTATTGAGTGATATTCTTCTTATGTACGTTCAAGTTGTCGGCGTAATCTTGAGACGGGACCTGGAAATGTGTCAGCAGCGTGGGTCCAGTCATTTTGAATGTCCTGGACATGGGGGCATAGTCCACCATGTGTTACATCAGTTACTTTCCCTGTCAATGGATAAATCTGCTGGCCCAGATGAGTGGAGAGACAAGCTTGCTGAAAAAGCTTCATGGTTCCTGGTTGTATTGGCTGGCCGTTCCAGTGAAGGAAGGAGAAGGGTGGTGAATGAACTTGTGAAAGCCTTGTCGCTGTTTATAAATGTTGAGAGTAACTCTTCTATTAGCAGTTTATTGCCTGATAAGAAAGTTCTTGCCTATGTCGATTTGGTATATTCCATTTTATCGAAGAATTCTTCGTCCGGCAACTTACTGGGATCTGGGTGTTCACCTGATATTGCCAAGAGCATGATTGATGGAGGAGTTGTCCATTGCCTATCTAGCATTCTTCAGGTAATTGATTTGGACCATCCTGATGCACCAAAAGTTGTGAATCTGATACTCAAGTCTTTGGAAAGCCTGACTAGGGCGGCAAATGCTAGCGAACAACTTCTGAAAGCAGATACATTGAATAAGAAAAATGTAAACGATCCAAGTGGAATGTCTGATACACAGCCTTTTGGTACCGAGACTTCTCAAGAACTACAATCTATTGAAAACAGAAGCTCACAACATGGACTCATGAGTAATGGTGGGTCAGAAGCACAGCCTGCTGATATCTCTTGGGAAAGTGGCGGTCAGAATTCTAATCCAAACCAACCCCATGAGCAAGAGATGAGGATCGAGGAGGATCAAACTAATAATGTGCCTGTGGATCTTGGGATGGATTATATGCGTGAAGATATGGAAGAAAGTGGTGCCTTGCCCAACACTGAACAAATTGAGATGACTTTTCATGTGGAGAACACAGTACATGATGATATGAACGAGGATGAGGATGGCATGGGTGATGATGGTGAGGATGAGGATGAAGACATAGGGGAGGGCACGGGTTTAATGTCGTTGGCTGATACAGACATCGAGGACCATGATGATGCTGGCTTGGGCGATGAATACAATGATGATATGGTTGACGAAGAGGATGACGACTTCCATGAAAACAATGTTATTGAGGTGAGGTGGAGAGAAGCCCTTGATGGTTTAGACCATTTGCAGGTCCTTGGACAGCCTGGAACAGGGGGAGGTTTAATAGATGTATCTGCTGAAGCTTTTGAAGAAGTAAATGTCGATGAGTTCTTTGGAATCCGTAGGACCTTTGGCTTTGAGCGGCGTCGTCAGACTAACAGAACTACCTACGAGCGATCTGTTGCAGATGGAAATGGTTTTCAACATCCTCTCCTTTCAAGGCCATTGAATTCTGGTGATACAGGTTCAATTTGGTCATCTGCTGGGAATTCCCGGGATTCAGAAAGCCTTTCTTCCGGTAACCTTGATCTCACGCAGTTTTACATGTTTGATGCTCCTGTTCTTCCCTATGATAGTGCACCAACTAATCTGTTTGTTGATCGTTTGGGTGGTTCCGCCACACGGCAACTAGCTGACTTTTCTGTTGGTTTAGAGTCATTGCGTGGATTGGGTCGAAGAGGGCCAGGTGATGGCCGGTGGTCTGATGATGGGCAGCCCCAAGGAGATGGTCAAGCAGCTGTGATTGCTCAGGCTGTTGAAGGTCAATTTATTTCTCAGTTGAGCAATAATAATCCTCCTGAAAGGCTTACGCAGAACGTAGCATTGCCGGAAAGGCAGGAAGGTCCCATGTCTGCCACTGATATTCAGCAGGCATTGGCTGTTGATAGCACTGATGCTCAGCTAATTGATGATCGCCATATTAACAGCATTGACCAAGGTGTTCGATCGGATGAACTCCAACTATCTCAGGAAGTCAATCGAGAGGTGGTGTCTGAAAGAGAAGGCCAAGAAGCAGTGGAAGGTATCCGTAGTGACATTGCTGATGATAGCATGGAAACAGGGTGTGTGAATAATATTGGGGGACAGAATCTGGAGACATATTTAGGTTCTCATGGTTTATCGGTCTCGGGAACAGATATGCCAGGATCTGCTGGTGATTTTCATGCTCCAGATCCAGCTAGTGGTGATGTTGACATGAATGCCACTGAAGTGCAAGGGGACTTGGCTGGGACACGAGTACCTCTATCTGAGATTAACCTCGAGGAGCCGTTACACCAGCAGAACAATTTGGTTGTCCAAGATGCAGAGCAGATGGAGGAAAGTAGTTTGAATAATGAGGTTTCTAATAATGCCAATGGCATCGATCCAACATTCTTGGAGGCACTCCCTGAAGATCTTCGTGCGGAGGTTCTTTCTTCACAGCAAGCTCGGTCGGCACCACCTCCTACCTATGCGCCTCCTAGAGTTGAAGACATTGATCCTGAGTTTTTGGCTGCCCTTCCTCCTGATATTCAAGCTGAAGTTCTTGCTCAACAACGAGCTCAGAGAATTACGCAGCAATCTGAAGGACAACCAGTTGACATGGACAATGCTTCTATAATTGCTACTTTCCCTGCTGATCTGCGTGAAGAGGTTTGTGTCTTATAAAATCTTCAAGTTGTCACTTATCTGCATTTACTACTTTTTGTCTTTTAATTTCTTCAAGTAATCACTTATCTGCATTTACTAACTTTATTTTATTTTTCGCGCGTGTTTTACTGTAGGTGCTTTTAACTTCTTCGGAGGCATTATTGTCAGCACTGCCATCTCCCTTACTTGCTGAAGCACAAATGCTCCGGGACAGAGCAATGAGCCACTATCATGCTCGCAGCCTGTTTGGAGGTAGCCAGAGACTGAACAGAGGAAATAGATTGGGGTTTGACAGGCAAACGGCTATGGATAGGGGTGTTGGAGTGTCTATTGGTCGGAGGGCAGCTTCTGTTTCTGAGAACTTGAACATGAATGAAATTGAAGGTGAACCACTTCTCGATTCCAAAGGCTTGAAAGCATTAATTCGTCTACTACGACTGGCGCAGGTAGTTTATACGTTTCATCTACATTTTGTCGAATGGCTGTACATTGCTAAGTGCATGACCATATTGACGTTTTTGTGTGATGGGTTGCTAATTAACTGAAATTCAGATGCTCTGTAACTTCTGGCTGAAGATATAGTTATTTATTAACTAGCGTAGAAANAAGTTTAACATCTGAATATCCATTGAACTAAAATTTTTGAATATGTTTTGCTTTTAGCCTCTGGGGAAGGGTCTCCTGCAGAGACTTCTGTTGAACTTATGCTCACACAGTGATACAAGAGCAATTCTCGTTTGGCTTCTGCTTAATATGATTAAACCTGAGACTTCGGGCTCGGTTGGTGGAGTGACTTCGATGAATACTCAGAGACTTTTTGGATGCCAGTCTGATGTTGTTTATGGGCGATCTCAATTGTGTGATGGTATGCTTTTATTCTCTTGGCCTGCTAATATAATATTTTTTTTATTTAACTTTGATATGGGTGTTGCTAACAATAATATGTAGTTCGTAATTGTATTTCTCTGCCCCCTCCCCATTCAATCTATTTAATGTGAAACATTATTTAATTAGTATCGCATAGATGTAACGGGGGGATTCTATTTCACTCAGGTGTTCCTCCATTAGTTTTACGTCGTGTGCTTGAGAACCTGACCTATTTGGCTACAAACCATTCTGGTGTTTCAAGCCTCTTATTCCACTTTGAGGGCGCTAATATTCCTGAAATTACATCTATGAACCATGGAGGGGACAGTAATGGAAAAGGTAAGGCCATTGTTGGAGGGCAGAGGCTTTCTGAAAGCTCCCATAAAGAGGACATTCCTTTATTATTGCTTCTTAGACTTTTAAGTGAACCACTTTTCTTACGGAGCATGGGGCATCTTGAGCAGGTATTGCATTCTCATCTTCAACATTGATTTTAAAGAGCACCAGTTAATATCACTTTTGCTTAATTGGTATATATGCCTTTCACTGATAGATCATGGGTCTGCTCCAAGTGGTTATATGCGCCGCAGCTTCCAAGTTAGATAATCTGTCAAATGCTGAAGAAGCGGCACCTCCTACTGAAAATGCTTCTGGTAATGAATCAGCCAGTGATGTTAGGACAGATCCCAATGCATCAGGAGAAGAATCTAATAAACTAGACCAGATTGCCAGTGCTTTAAACACCAAATCAGATGGTCAGAGAAAAACTAGGACTTATGAAATTTTCTTGCTGATGCCTCAATCAGATTTGCACAACCTCTGTAATCTTCTTGGGCATGAAGGGTACACTACTTTTATTTGATCATTTTACTTTCTGCTGTTTGTAGAACTCAGTGTTTGTCTAATATCTTGTCAGCATGTGTACTTTCATTTTCCAATCTCTTGTATATGATAAAGAAACAGTGATGGGAATTTCATCTTTTCTGTATAATATTACTCAGGCTTTCCGACAAAGTTTACTCACTGGCTGGGGATGTGCTGAGGAAGTTTGCTTCAGTTGCTTCTGTTCATCGCCGATTTTTCATTTTGGAACTTTCTGAGTCGGCCGAAAGGCTGAGCACCTCTGCCGTGGATGAACTTGTCACACTAAGGAAAACACACATGCTGGGATTGAGTGCTGGGTCAATGGCTGGGGCTGCTGTTCTTCGTGTTCTGCAGATTCTTAGTTCACTTATTTCTATTGGTAGCAATAGTGACGAGGACAGAGTAGACAGTGAGGAACAGGAAGAGCATGACACAATGTGCAAGTTAAATGTTGCATTGGAGCCCCTGTGGAAAGAACTGAGTGAATGCATTAGTACAATGGAGATGAAGTTGAGCCAGAGCTCCCACTCCATTGTCTCAAGCAATGGCATTGGGGAACAGATTCATGGCCCTTCGTCAGCAACTTCCCCTTTGCCCCCAGGGACTCAGAGACTCTTGCCTTTTATTGAAGGCTTCTTTGTTCTTTGTGAGAAGTTGCAGGTCAATAGTTCCACTTTGCAGCAAGATCTTAATGTCACAGCCACAGAAGTGAAAGAATCAGTCGGCGGTTCAGTCCAGTTTGCCAAATCCATTGATGTTTACAAGAAAATTGATGGGTCTGTCACATTTGTTAGGTTTGCTGAAAAGCACCGTCGCCTTCTTAATGCTTTTGTAAGGCAGAATCCTGGTTTATTGGAGAAGTCACTCTCAATGATGCTGAAAGCTCCTCGACTGATTGATTTTGACAACAAGAGGGCTTATTTCCGATCCAGGATTCGTCAGCAGCATGACCAACATTTGTCGGGCCCACTGCGTATTAGCGTTAGACGGGCATACATTTTGGAGGACTCGTATAACCAGCTCCGCATGAGGCCAACTCAGGATCTTAAGGGAAGGTTGAATGTGCATTTTCAAGGTGAAGAGGGTATTGATGCTGGTGGTTTGACTAGGGAGTGGTATCAGTTGTTGTCCAGGGTCTTATTTGACAAAGGAGCGTTGCTCTTCACCACTGTTGGGAACAATTCGACTTTTCAGCCAAATCCTAATTCTGTATATCAAACCGAGCATCTCTCATATTTCAAATTCGTTGGCCGTGTGGTAACAATCCAAAACCACCTTATTTCGAGTCTTGATTTTATTTAATCATGTTTCATTTTTTTTTCGTTTGAAAGAAATAAGAGCCTAACGTTTCATACTGTTCCATTGTAGGTTGCTAAGGCACTTTTTGATGGACAGTTGCTTGATGTATATTTTACTCGCTCCTTCTACAAGCATATCCTTGGGGTAAAGGTGACTTATCATGATATAGAGGCTGTTGATCCAGATTACTATAAAAACCTAAAATGGATGTTGGAGGTTAGTTGTAGTAACATTAAATCACTTTTTGTAACTGAAAAATTCATCTGGTTATCAATTAGTTTGTCTTTTCCTTGTGTGCAGAATGATGTGAGTGACATACCGGATCTGACATTTAGCATGGATGCAGATGAAGAAAAGCACATCCTTTATGAGAAAACAGAGGTACTGTGATGAATGTGTTCATTTTAGTATCTATTGATAATTCTTTCCTTGTATTTTGAATCTGTAATTTAAAAAAAAAAATGTCTCCAAAAGAATGCCGATTCGTCTCTAATTCTGTAAATTCTGTAATGTTATTGAATTATGAAGGTTACTGACTACGAGCTCAAACCGGGAGGAAGAAATATAAGAGTGACAGAAGAAACAAAACATGAATATGTCGATCTTGTTGCTGATCACATATTGACAAACGCTATCCGTCCTCAAATAAATTCGTTCCTTGAAGGTTTCAATGAATTAGTACCGCGGGAACTTATATCTATTTTCAATGATAAAGAACTTGAACTATTGATCAGTGGTCTTCCAGAAATTGATTGTAAGTTGACGTGCCTTTTCGGAACCGTTAAATTGCCTGTTACAACTTTGAAGTATTATCCGAACCAACTAATGACTTTGATCTCTTTCTAGTGGCTGATCTGAAGGCTAATACTGAATATACCGGGTATACCCCGGTATCTAGTGTTGTTCGGTGGTTCTGGGAAGTTGTTGAAGCATTCAGCAAGGAAGATATGGCAAGGTTTCTGCAGTTTGTAACAGGAACCTCAAAGGTGATTTATTCGAACCTGAGTTGTCATAAATTTATAGAATTAGTGATCTAACATGTGAGCATGTTAATTGTCAAAAATTTTCCAATATTTTTTTTACTCATCTAGTATGCATGTTTGTGCATGCTGAACTTATTTATAGCCTGAATGTCTCTTTGTCTGGCCTAATCTATTGAAAATTTTTGGGGAGGACTAATTTGTATGGTTTATACTATTAGGTCCCTCTTGAAGGTTTTAGGGCACTGCAAGGCATATCTGGTCCCCAGAAGTTTCAGATTCACAAAGCATATGGAGCTCCAGAGAGACTTCCATCAGCTCACACATGGTAAGTCTATCTATCACATACTGAATATACGTGTATTTTTTGTATTTTTTTTTTTTTTTTTTTTTTTTNTTTGCATCATCTCCTGCAAATTCACTTGTCTCTTTACTACTACCAATTTACAGCTTTAACCAACTGGATCTTCCGGAGTATTCTTCAAAGGAACAGCTTCAAGGACGTCTGTTGCTAGCGATTCACGAAGCTAGTGAAGGGTTTGGGTTTGGTTAAGATTGTGATCGGGTTTGATTGTGGTTCCACAGCACCTGCTGCTCAATTCGTTATTGCAGTATATATGTTGGTATTATTTCTTTTTTCTTTTTTCATCAAAATGTTCTAAATAAGTTTGCTTGGCCTGAATTTTGAAAATGTTCTTGAAGGTATAAATGCTGATGTGGATCCATCCACTGTTCCTTGAGAATGAAGATTGGGGCCGGGATGTGACAGGTTGCTAATTTTGATTACTGCATTTTTTGCCCAAAGAGAGGATGAATGCTTATGTTACTTGCTGGTGGCGTAATTATTGATACATCTATCTTTTAATGATTGATTATGCATGAGAAATAAATATATATAGATTGGAGAGGTAGAGAGATTGGTTTTAGAGATTTGTTTTGAATATATTATGACTTATATGATAATGATGCCTCTCATTCTTGTTGTATTGGAGGCTAACAAGAGTGGGCTATGAATAATTTCTCAGATACACACTTTGTGGATATGTGATGTTGTAATGGCTTTTATTTAATCTTGAGTTTATTGCTATGGCTTTTATTTAATTTAATCCGAGTTTTTGACCCAGATCGGCTGGCTCCTAAAACATGAGGAGCATATATTGAATTGATAAAAACTTGTGTGATCCAAACCAAAAATGTAAAAGCACCTATGAATTTTCTTTCATGCCTTTTCAGGTTCAAGTGAATTTTAGATTTAATTTATTTGTAATGGTTGTATTACCATTGCAATTATATATTATGTTTTAATAAGGGTGTAATGGTTTATCTATACAATAATCTTTTGTTAATATGGGTTATTTTTACGTTTGTACTTCTAAATGAATGGTTGAATTGGATCTAACTAGCATCTAATGATTAGTACAAGAGTGCCAAATGTCATGCAAGTATAAAACTTGTCCAACTGTAAAAGTACCCAACGAATTAAATTATTTGTTTTAGGTTAAAACTTAAAAGAAGGTTGTCTTTTGTTTTTTTTTTCTTTTTCTTTTTTTTTTATTAAATGCAAGATTTTTACTGGAGTATGCGAATACTTACCTACAGCTCATACAGATTACAGACGACTACCATCTTTCCTTTTTCTCGAATCTAATCCTCTCTATATTTTGCTGCTCATCTCAATTTTTCTGCTGAATATTCATTTCTCTCTCCCTCTCTGATTCATGTACATTTTTGTTTTTTTTGGGAAGTCTATGGAATTTTATTTTTTTCACTCGAATATAGATATAGATTAATCTATTTCAAAAGCTAATGTAAATTAATTTCTTTCAAAAGCCAATGTAAAATCCGCAGGCAGGGAGAGACAAAAAGATGAATTAAAAGAGGCAGTATAACAAACAAAAAGAGGGTGTTCCATAATTATGAGCATTGGATGTACTTCCTACTTAATTTTATGTGACAAATGTCTACATTTTCAGTTACCCGCAAGCCACAAAAACTGTTCAACTGCTAAAATTACAACTGATTTTCAACATTAAACTCTGGACGCCCCAAGTTTCTTCTCAAACAAACGCCGCAAAATGAAGACTTGAAAACCGCTCACCGCAAGTAGAGCAAGACATTCGAACAGCGCCTTGTGAAATGCCCCTCTGCTCATTTTCTCATTCACTGAGAACCAACCAAAGATAATACAACAGTGGAATTAAGACTAAAGATAGACAAATTATCCAAAAAAAAACAAAAAAAAAGAACAAGTGAGTAGAAAAAACGGTTTGTGTAAAACACGAATTTTGCTCGATTTTACCTATTGCCTGACGATCAGTTTGGGCCTCCAGCCAATGCTGCTCGAATTGAATATTGTATAAAGCTTCCTCCAACTTGCCAATATGCTCAAAAAGAGGCTTGAAATGCTCTGCATACGTCCAAAAAAAAAGATTGATACACTCATGAGAATAAATATTAAATGAAAAAGAAAAAAAAAAGGTTGATAAGCACAATCACCATCTTTGGCATGCTCATCATGGTACAAGAAGTGGCCTGCATGAACGTCAAAGTCTATAGTCTCGTGATATGGGGACTTGTTTGTGAAACAAAACCGATAAACTCCTTGATGATAAGACACAAACTCGTGCTTGTGACTCGATTGGTCACGAACATCATGGACCTGCTCGCCATTTGGTCCCTTCACCTGAAATTTTTTGTTGTGTTAGACATCGTAGAGCATGTTTAAATCGGGATACAAGATTATAATAGCATTTAGAAGCATATTGTTCTCGCGTATGTTTTATACTTCATCTACAAAAAACTTTCACTACAACAAATTGTGTAGCAAAATGTACTGAGATATGGTTTTATCTTATACATTAAATATTCACATTAATTTGTCAAACAATGTGTTAAAATATGCGACTAAAAATTTACAAGCCTGGTTTAAAACATTTGACTTGCGCACAAGCGCTCGATAATTTGAAAATTCACATTTAACCAACACAGTAATTAGTAATAAATAACTGCCTCAACTACGCTCAAACTACAGGTTTGATAAACAGCCTACCCCAAAAAAACACCACCAAGTAGCTATACCATGTTTTTACCATGAAAATAAAGAAAATAAAAAAAAAATCAAAGAAGAGATAAAAAAACTCATAAACATTACAGATCTCAAAATGGTTAACGAACAGAAAATTCAAATTCGTTAAAAAAAGAAAACTTCAAATCTTTGTTCTCAAAGAACACGGTTGAAGAATGGCCAACGAAAACATGGACTTAACACGAAAACTTACCACAAGATCAACACCATCTTCACTATAATGCCATGACCCCTCGGATTTAATCACCACAAATGAGAAATGCACGGTGTGTCCATACTCAACCTTGTGAGAGAAGCACTCCTCTCTATCTATAACAAATCTAATACCAAAAGCACCTTTAAAACTGCAAAGGGTTACCAACACTGCCACCACTACTAATGCTAGCTTCATCTGCATCCAATTGTAAAAGATCACAAAAATTTTGAGAAAAGGAATGGGCAAAGAGCAGAACTTGATTTTCAGATTCGTGAGTAATTTAACCATATAACAGCACAAATAGACATGATTAAAAACGGTATATAGGAAGGATGAAGCATATGACCATATTTCTCCTTTTCTTCACTTTACATATAAAAATATTGTCAAAATTGATGAGACGGGATTGCTGTAAACCAAACAGTTATTATGAGTTTCGATACTCAACTTGCATTGGGCTGCCTTATTTTGTAATGTTATTGTGTGCAAAGAAAAGACACTGAAAGTATAACATCTCAAACTTCAACCATGTACGTTATACCTATACCATATTACCATAGTGTAAAATACTTCCAGTGTCCAGAGCAAAAAAAGTTGTGCTCTTGTCGTGTATTGTCAAAACTTCAAATTTTCTAGTTTACGATTAATTGATTATGTAGTCAATTTTGAAAAGGTCTCTCCGGCCATGATGATTTAATTTATAAACCAGCGTGAAGACACTTGTACAAGTACAATATCATTATTAACTTTCGTCATACAGATTCAAGATAAATTTGGGTGATCAAATCTTAAAAAAAACATCTAGCTAAATTTGAATGATTCAAAGTAAACAGAATGATTATTAAAATGTAACTTGAGAAAAATCAGTGAATAGCTAGTTTCAAAAGATCTTCATTGCACTCAATAGTGAAAAAGGCTCCTTTAAGTTCATGCAGCAAACAAAGATGTGACCGCTATTGACGCAGCGCCGTAGGATTGTTATGGTCGGGATGATTAGTATTTGATTTATCTTTGTCCATCCATTACTCAGACACAATAAAAATTGTGCACAGAGCATAAATCTGAAATCTTTATTATTACATACTTATTTTCTGCAAATCCCAAGCTCAAAATAGAAGCAACACTTTAAGTTGATCAACTAAGCAACAGTCTACATTCATGTCTTATACCAACAAAATCATTCAAACCAATGCCCTGGCTGAAGCTCCTAACTTTGAATCCAGCTTAGGTCAAACTTCATAGGGATAATTACAGAGGAACCCAAAAGAAAATAATTTCAATAGAAACTAAAGAAAAAAAATATGCACCTACTCAGTACTTCACAACAACACCAAGAGCTATTCCCAGAAAAAGTAAACAACATCTAATAAAGGAGGAAACAACAGCTCAGTAAGATATACCGAGGGTTTTCTGCATAGGGACAAGTTTTAAAATTGAGTAAAGATTAAAAACCTAGAATCCATAAAAACCAAACTACTGAAAAGCAACTGAAATTAAAAATCCCGGACGAACTTGTTAAAATCAACAGGGCAAAAACTATTAAGTAAATGTCCGCACATTAATCAAACGAAAAAGAAACCGAAAAGGGAAATATTTCAAAAGCAGTTAAACAAGGAGAGAAAGGAAAAACGAATCGCACCTTTATTTTGAGCTTCAATCGGCGATCGCCAGCGAGATTCTCGAGCAAATACTCACCTGTTTTTACCAAGGGGAAGATGGTTCTCACCTGTGTTGATGGCTTATAGCCTCCGCCGTGGCAGAGGCGTAGTTTACCTGTGACATGGTTTGCAAAATCTCAGCCAATGAGAAACTGACACGTCTGTGTCCATTTTAATTAAATATGTTAAATTATTTTGTGTTATTTACAAAAATCCTACATTTATTATGAGCTTACAAATTTATGAAGTGGCTAATGAGAATCATTTATTTAATTAAAAAAAAAATAACCCGTGGACAACAATAAATAAAAAAAAGGTTGTGTGGAAAAAAATCAAACGGTCGGATTTTCAGAATCCGTGTTTCAAGGAAAAACGGAGTCTGAGAATCCGTTTTTATTTATTTATTATTTTTTATTTTTATTTTTTTTTTATTTTTGTCAAAAAATGAATTTTAAAAATCCGTTTTTATTTTTTAAATATTTTTTATTTATTTTTTTTATTAAAAAACTTAAAAATGGATTTTGAAAATTCGTTTTTATTATTTAATTATTTTTTATTTATTTTTTATTTCATAAAAAAAAACTTAGAAGCGGATTTTCAAAATCCGTTTTTAAGTTTTATTTAATTTTTTGTTTTTTAAAAAATTGTGGAAGTTGTATAGTGACTTTTGGCTATTAAAATATATATAAATTGGATATGATAATAACAAATTGATGTAGAGAAATTAACAGGGGAATGAACCTTTAGAGCATCCACAATGCTTTAAGTCTTTTAACAAAAAATCACATGCCACATGGGAAATAGACTTTAGTCTATAAAAAAATACTTCCCAATGCAATTAAAAGTAGACATGGTCTAGCTTATGTGGCAATGAAAAAAAGAGACCAAGTCCACACTTGGGTCTATTTTGGACCCAAGTACAAACCCAAACACTCATCATTTGTTCTTAATTTAATTTTTTTTAATGAATAAAACATATTAGAGCATTTCTATTGGTTGGCATGTATGATAGACCTAGTCTTTTATTTTTGAATTGCAAAGTTTTTGAGTTTTTTTACTTGGGTTTGTCCATGTCATTTAAAACTCAAGTCCAATTATATGTCATATATACAAAAATAGACCCAAAGCATTGTGGATGCTCTTAGAGTGTAAAGTGATAACCATAAAAGAAATTACTAAATTAGGCCGTAACAACCATCGATTCATATTAATTTCGATTTTGATCTTACAATGACTACATGATCCATTAGTTGAAATAGAAGAGTAGCTATTTTGTAGGTCAGTGCAAATGATTCGATTCCAACTTGATTTCGGCCGAAAACTCTCTTTTNTATATATCAAACTCGAAACAGAGATAGGAGAGTACAAGGAGGCGTGCACACAGGCACATGACTTAGTTTACATGAAAATAACTAAGTGGAGGTGGGAGCAGCCCACCAAAAAAACTAGACTAAAGAAGATTAACTAGTCAAATACATACAATCTAAATACAAATACACTAGCAGCCCCACAAAAAGGAAAAACTTAGAAGGCAAACAAAAGGAAGAAACTGTAGACATGAGAACACAGGTGGATACTCTGCCACTGAGTCCATGAGCTCCTAGCTTATTAGCAACAGAGAAGCAGTCCTTCGAGAAACCAAAAGAAAATATAAACAGATGACTCAAATTATGGGAGGTTGAGGTCTTCGAATTCCAACCATTCCGTTCGGGCTTGATTGACAATGTCTCTTTCAGCTATCCAGATGTTGTTGAAGATCCAAAAGTTTCGGCTGAAAACTTAAAGAGAGTGTATTTATTTAGAATTCTTAAAGATTTGTCCAGACTTTAACTTGTTGTATTTAATTTAAATTTTTTAAGACTTTTAAAATTCATGAAATATTCATTTAACTTTTCATAAAATCTTAACAAATTACAAGATTTTTAACTTATTTGACACTGAATACAATAAAGTTTTTGCTAGAATTGGTTGAACCGCCGGTTCAAAATATAAAACTTTGAACCCAAATTCCAGCTGAAAACCGGCTGTTCGCATTAAAAGAAAAATGGTTGAACCGAGATCGCACCAAACAACCAACTACTCTTTGTGTAAACCCCACTTGCTCTTCTCACTATCCAGCAGCCACCCCACTCTTCACACCCCGCGCCACTGTCAAATCCATTTGATGGCCGGCAATCGCGACGACCCTCTTATGCTGTTAACCAGCCACCACCCATCATCCGCCTCCTCCCCGATCGCCGTCTCCTATGCCGACAGCTACCTCCACGACGCCTCCCAAATTGGCAGCGCCTCCGGCAGCTTCCAGAACGACGCTGCCTTCCTCTCCGGCGGATACGACCCCGGAATTATCAGCGAAGCCGAGTACGGATTCTCCCGACCCGATTTCAGGCAGGGCCCTCTAGTGGGGACGGTGGAGATGTACGAGCGCCACGTGTTCCTGTGCTACAAGAACCCTCAGGTCTGGCCTCCCCGCATTGAGGCTGCTGAGTTCGATCGCCTCCCCAGGATTCTTGCTGCCGCTTTGGCCGCTAGGAAGTCTGATATGAAGCGAGAGGTGAAATGGGTTTTCTTTTCTATTTTCCTTTTTTTTTTTTTCTTTTTCGGTTGATCAGTGAGGTGATTTTGAAGCATGGGTCTTTGGATGTCTCTGTGATTTCCTGATTTATTGGGGAATAAAATCATGTTTCTTGTAATTTGTGGATTGTGTATGCACTATGCAGCATACTGGTTGTTGTATCTTACCTTGTTGCTATTTGAGTGTTAATTTGCTAACTAAATTGGTAAAGCATGTTCTGTGTGTAAAGCTATTTAATAGATTAAGCCTCTATGTTTTCATTCTATGCTTTCTGCAGAGAGTTATTTCCTTTCATCTCAAAATGATCTATTGTATAAGTTGCATATTGCCAACTTACATTATTGTTGTCCCTTTCGTTTGATTTTAGCTCTGTAAGCAAGAAGCATTCACATGTTTCAGAGTGCAGCCTAAGACATGTTCTTAGTTAATTCTTATTTATTTATGTATCAATTTGTGTGTGTTTGTGAGTGCTGAAGGAGGTCCATAGGATCTCCACTAATTTGCAAGTCGCTGCTTCTCATATAATAAGCCCGAGATATTAGCATGATGCGTTAGGTTTAGGGTTTAGAACATTATGTTTATGAATATAGTTGACTATCTTGTATCATATTCTATCTTCTGGTGTGTGTGTGTGTGTGTGTGTGTGTTGTATGGTACACTAGCTGTTTGCATCCATTAGTGTTATTCTGGTTATTTATCTGTAGATGTGCTGCACAAGGGTAGCTCATGTCAAGTACTAGGACATAGTATTTTTTGTTTGTGCTTTTATATGTTCTTCTGGACATTGAAACAGAAACAAATATCTTTAGAGCAACTCCAACCGTACCTCAAACCCAAACGCATCACCAAAAAATCCTCCAACCGGTACCGAAACGCAAACCCAAAATGAGTTTTGATCCGTTTCTCTCTCCTCCAAACTGCATATTTGCGTTTGTACTGTTCACATACGCAAATCTTTTTTTATTTGTGTTTTGGCCCTTCTATTTTCAAAAATGAAGTTTTAGTTTATTTATCAAAATTTATGGTTTGTCTATAAGTTGTTATTTTTCTATATAAAATTATAATATAAGTATGTAAAAATTCATTAATGAAATTTTTTATATAAAATTTTAATATAAATGTATAAAAAATAATGAACAAAATATATATATTTATATATATATATATATAAATATTTTGTGTAGGCATAAAGTTGATATTTTTTTAAAAATACTGAAAAATTATTTATGATAGAGCAAAATGTGTAATATATTAATATGTGATAAGTAGTTTGACAAATAATATGACTATAAATAATTTTTTGTTTTTTTATGCTCTAAACCATATATGGTCTAGTGTGTAAATTTGCACTAATTCATATATGTTCTAAACCATATATGGTCTAGTGTGTAAATTTGCACTAATTCATATATTTTCAAAAGTAACAGTTTTGAATTGGTACATAGATGTATATGTATCTTCTTTAAGAAATTCAATTTATTACAATTCATTTTTAAAATAAATAAAAAAATAATATATTTAATGTAGAGTAAAATGTAGAGATAAGGGCTGGAGATGAATGTTCAACTCTACTCTAGAGTAGAGTAAAGTCCGCGCTAGAGTAGATATAAGGGCTGGAGATGGCCTTAGTTTATTACATAAAGTCCAAATTGAATTGAAAATAATAGTGTGGTTTAATTTGTAAAATTGTAAAATATGTGGGTAGTATTTAAAAGTTGTAAAAGTTGATGTAAAAGAGAATATTTCGAGAATATTCTTTTGGGTTGGAGAATGAGTTTTTCGGTTGGAGATGAATTACTGCAAAATGAGATAGTTACTGCAAAATGAGTTTGAGTATGGAGTATTCGGTTGGAGATGGTCTTAGTCAATAACTTTTATCATCCTTATACTTGATATTATTTGTCCTTTTTTTGTTTTCAGACTCGCCTAACAATATGTGAGGGACATGATGGGACCGAGACATCAAATGGCGACGTTTTAATATTTCCAGACATGATCAGATACAGGTCAAACATAGAATTCAATCTTTTAAAGCTTCAGAACCGCTTAAACTTCCCTGTAATTTGTCTTTTCCTGTTCTGATATCAATTAAAATTGCAGGAGATTAACGCATTTTGATGTTGACACATTTGTGGAGGAGGTTCTAGTGAAGGATGGTGAATGGTTGCCTGGAAGCCCAGAAACTCTAAGGGGTTGGTACATCTTTGTATGCTGCCATGGGTCACGGGATCAACGTTGTGGTGTTTGTGGGCCAGCTGTCATTAGTAAATTCCAGAACGAGATAGAGTTGCGTGGCATACAAGGGAAGGTCTCGGTTAGCCCGTGTTCCCACATTGGAGGACATAAGTATGCAGGCAACGTGATTATTTTCGGACCTAAAGAAGTGACTGGGCATTGGTAAGTGGTTCACAAATTGTTTGGCCAGGGCTCTTGAATCTGTCTAATGGTTGCCTTTCTATGAGAGAAAAAGGTTGATTGCATTTTCTCTTATTGTTTTGTGTTGACTCATGATAGGTTCGGTTCTGCTGCAACGGGGTTTAATGCAAAATGTTAAAAGTTATTCATGTGAAAGAGAAATTTCCAAAATTTAGTAGTACAATTGCAAATCTCACCATAGCTTGGCATGCAAGATGTTCATTCCTTAGAGAAATGATCAGCGAACCTTATAACCTTATTAACAGGTAGCTTTGTGACTGCTATACTGCAGGTATGGATACGTTATGCCTGAAGATGTCCCTCTTTTGCTCGAACAGCATATTGGAAGAGGAGAAATCGTGGATTTCCTGTGGAGGTAAATCAACCGATTTCCATCTACTGTTATAAAAGGATATGTTCATATTAATTGGAGGTCCCTCTTATTTATTTTGCATGACCGACTTTTTAAAAAAATCGCGGGCTTATATCGATTATTGTTCCATTACAGGGGACAGATGGGATTATCTGTAGATGACCAGAAAAAATCACTGGAACAGAGGTCCTTGCTCAATGGTGGCACATATACAGATAGGACCATGAAAGACAGTAAAGACATAAAAAATATAGCTGCCAGCACTTGTGCATCTCCATCAGATGTCACAAGTTGCTGTGAGGCGAACGGGGGCTTCTCCTGCTGTCAGAGTCCCGTTTTACAAGAAAAGAGTGGGGGTTTGGATTCTAAGGATGCTACTGATGAAAAGAAGAGCAAATCTAAAAAACAAGGCTCTCGGAATAAACGTGGGAAAGGGAAGCAGTGTTCTATGCCGACTTGGTATGAAAGCTGGGAACGTGAGGATACATACGCCACTCTTGCTGTTGTGGCTGCTGCCTTGTCACTTGGGTTCATGTACAAATGCTTCAAGCAGATGACTTGAGCTGAACTCTGTCCGGTTGGCTAGTAAGTATTGATTCTTGTGTTTGGGCATTTTAGTTTATGTAATGGAAAAGAAAATGGTTATATGCTATTTCCGATGGTAGTAAATGGGTGTTATTTGAGAATTGGTGGTTT